GAGCAAGGCAGATACACCGACAGCAGTGGCGGCGACAGCACTGGTCGCAACACCCACCGCGATGAGCCCTTTCTGGCAGTCGCCGACCAGGCAGCAGCACCTGAGGGGTTGTTCTAGTACCTGGTGTCAGTATGTCAGAGCAAGGCAGTAGAGGAACGGTTGGGGTCGTGAGGTCGGATCCTGTATAGTAGGGGGCGCCTGCATTTGTCACCCCGTAGCGTCCTTGTGTAGGCCCGTCTTTTGTTGGATGAATAGCATAAACCTGCCAGTCTTAGCCGGGGATATAGAAACTGTCGCAAAAAGCACGTTCCGACCCACACAGGAAACAATTTATAGTGTAATGTAGGTGCCCGCAGATGAGGGGTAAAGAGAAGAGAGGGGGGGGAGCCGTGGCACAGCGGAGAGGGCGGCAACACTGTTCGTCTCCCTTGTTTCACCTTGCTGTGTGACTTGGATGATGAGGCATCCGCAAGGATCGTGCTCGTGTTGGCTAGATATGTTGCCCCCGGTGTGTTGCGGCTTCCTGGCACTTTCGAACTCGCGGCCACCGTATGGTGCCCATCAGACACAACAATTCAATGAGAGTGTTGCAAGTCTACCACGTGTGCTGGGAGCATCCTTCTTTTGAACGTGTACAGATATCACCCGCCTCGCGACGGACTGTTGTGTTTTTCCGTGGGCGGTGATTTGTGAAAACAACGAGAAAAAGAAGTGGAACATACACAGGGAGGATGGCGACGTTCAAACAAACATGGCGCAAATATAACGCAATATGGTCATTTTCTAAACTCTCATTTCTGCTGCTGCTCGGTCCTGCGAGTGGCGACACTTCATCGAGTAACTACTCGTTGGTTCCCCGGAATTTTGTTTTATCTCCAACTTGTTCCTGGCTTTTCGCAGAGCTGGCGTTTGCCTTTTCGCAGAGCTGGCGTTTGCCGTTTGTCCCCCACTCATTTATGTATTGTAGGTGGCCTTGAATTGTCCGTTCCCCTCCTCCTCTCTCCCTCGCGCGCACCTACTGCCCCATACACCGCGGTTCAGGTATGTGGCGGCAGGGGTTGGGGCAGCCCCCTGTTCAGAAGAGGACCCATACTTTTGGTCGCAACGAGTTACAACATAACAACAGTAGTAGTCCCCTGCTGGCCCTGGTGGTGGGCCAAAACTCGAGAGTGTTTGTTTACACCATCGCTCCACGAGATGATGTTGTTTTGGTTGAAGGCACCTGCAAATAATGCGGACGGCACAAGTGGGCTGCCTCCTACGCAAAGAAGTTAAGCCTGTCACGAAAAACAGGCCAGGCAGGGGGCACGCAGACCGTAACCCCAACTTAGCGGATTATATTCTTGATCTAGAGTGATTATGTTTGCTCACTCAGCTGTCAGGAAAACCTGCGTAGATTTTTTATACAAGCTAGACTGCTTTCACTTCCGGCACCCTTATCACGGCTGGCTACAATCGGGGAAGAAAATAACAACACTAGAAGGATAAACGGTTGGCTCCATCGAGGGAGAAACGGGCTCCTCCGCACATACATGTGAAACAAAATATGAAACCACGTTGGTTGCAGGGTGGATGAAACGTTTTTCAAAATAAACAAGAGAACTCGAGACGACGTGCACAACAACAACGACAACCCTCCTGAGCGAGGCACCAGCAGCTAGCTGCCTGCACTTTCTTCCCGCCTCCTCTGTTGGAGTTCCTGTAGACTAAACCTATTATTCTGGCCGACCAAGAATCAGAGACCCCCTCCTCCCCCCCCCCCCCCTTTAATCCTACGCCCCTTCCGGCCGCCCCATCCTCTCGTCTACATACTGTTACAGTGCAACTTACACTTACTCTTGTTGCTATCACACGAACAACTGCTAATACAGCTAGCCGTACTGCCGCCGTTGTTTCTCACCCCAGCCAGATCTAAGCTCATCGCCAAAACCTATCGTTTCTTCTAGTTTACAGCCCGTGGGCATACATACGCGTGCCAGGGGAGAATGATGTTCAACACGTGTGTGTGCGTGCAAAAAATACAGGTCACATGTCACACCTACCTTACTTATCACCCACATGATTTTAAGGAAAATCCATTCCTTACATAACCACCAACTCAGCTGAGTTTTCAACAGGAGGGTAGCTCTCGGAACGTTTGACTTACTACACATTGTCCCAAGCACGGCTTAAATACTCGAAACATAACATGAAAAATCTAAAATGAACGGTTGACGAACGAATACGGTCCCTCTCTCAGAACGTCGCAGGAACTCCACGTCCCCGCCTCCGCCGGAAACAAGAACGAAAATAACATTTCGGTCTTGTTTAGATCCCTCTCTTAACTCTGTTTACCTAACTAAGAAAAGCATCATCGACAACTAACAGCAAATAAATGCCTAAAATAGCATGCCCTTCTCGATTGGCCTCTCTCACTCTCTGTCGTACTTTTGAGACAGGCATCACCAACAGGGATACTAAAATAACGTTTTGTTCTCAGCTGCCCTCTCTCTTTCTCTCTGTCACACTAACGACAAAAAGCCCACCAGCAACACCGACGAAGCCTAAACAAACGCAGAAAAGACGACGACGAGGAGAGCTCGTGGGTGCGAGCCCTCCGCCGACGGTTTCATCTCCTCCCGCCACGACACGACCGCTCGCTCTTCGTGTCTTCCCCACCTCGGACACCACGCTCCCTCCACTCATACTACCCCTCTCCCTGTGTGGGGCCTAAACCTAGCGTCAGCCCCAGGTGAAGAGTAACTACCCTTAGCCAAACCAGATAACAAAAAATAAAACAATCTTCCAGAAGAGTACCTATTCTCAACCAAGAACAAACATCAAACAGTCTTAAATTTTCCACATTCAGTGGTGGGTGCTGCATAAATTAGATACCCCCACAGATAGGTGATACCCCCCCCCCCCTCCCCCCTCAATGGTCAAACGACTACGGCATGCACGACTATGAGTACACCCCCCCCCCAAAAAAAAAAAGAGCCTGGTCCGGTGAGAACCCGGCGTGCTCCGTCCCGGCTTTGTGAGGGATGAGAGGTCAATGGTCTAACGACCATCGGCATGCACGACAATGAGTACACCCCTCCCCCCTCGTGACCAAGCAAAATACCTGCTTGGGCGTGCGTGCATCTTGTGCACATCTATCCCTCCCTTTCGTTGTCCTTGCAAAAAAAAATGCCCTCCTCTGGCTCATGCCCCTCGGCCCTACGTCACCCCCCGCGGCGTGCGTTCCCATATCCAGTACGGTGTGTCATGTGTGTCCGGTCGAGATCCGAAATAAAGATCAAAAGGTTGTTTGTATGCAGCATGCATGCGTGAGTGAGTGGACGAATGCGTGAGTAATCGTACTACTCTTATTTAATGGCGTCGGGTCGCGCCCTAGATGGCTGCCCGATGCAGATAAAGACGTCGGCCTAAGCAGGAAAATACATCGACTCATCATACGCTTTCTGCGTAGTTGCCCCTCCCCCGACGCCGCGGACGAACAATGTGTGCCAAATAGGTCTGCAACCGCATAATATATTCTGGTACGAGCGACAAGACACTGCACAATAAGTCTACAACTAGCCCGCACGCTCCCCCAGATGTCTACAACTAGTAGCCTAAACCGCGTGTACATGACGGTCCGACCGCGTCGAATGGACGCTCCGGTCATCGTTGCCGCCCTTGCTCTTCCTCTTCTCGAGCTCGTCCAGCCTCCGAAGCACCGCCGTCACGTTCCTTTCCATCACCTGGGAGTGGCGTGTGTGAGGGCGTTACTGTGTGACTGACGACGCACACAAGCGCAATTACTTGAAGGTGCGTTGAGACAGTCGTCTTTAACTGGCATTGCCAGCGGTCGACAACAAACAGGCGCTGGATTTAGAAACAGCATCAAAACCGGTCGGTTCCGCTGCGTATAGTTGTTCAACCCTCCCACGCCACCCAACCGGGGGCGGCAAATAATAAATGGTTACAGCCCCACCTGGGTTGCGTGGAACAGAAGCCAAGGGCGCAACAAATTGAGCCCGAAAACAATACAGTAGGCACAGGGTTACCGCAAACAGAGGGCTTTTCGAAACATGAAGCAACGAAACAGGGAATAAGAGCTTGGTAAAACACAGCAGTCTCAACATTGCCACACCACCACCACCATGTTGTTGGCCCCCCGGCGCACGTACCTCTAGGCGCCCTTCGACACAGCACCGTCTCGACGGCGACACAGTAACAGCGTTCCCGCCGCCGCCGTACTCCGAGTCGTCGCGGCAGCCCCCGCCGCCCCTCCTTCCGTCTTCACTTTCGGCAGGAAAACCGCGTGGTGCCGCCGTCGGACCAGCGACGGCCGACGAGTCCGGGCAGCTTGACCCGGAGTCGCTCCTAGACTTGACGCTCCCGGCCGAAGCTAGCCCGCGACCCCGGCCTGCCTGCAGCCTGCCGACCCCCCGCGCGGCGGCCTTCTCCCGCTGGAGCTCCACCCTGCCGAGGAGGTGCGTCCGCTCCGACCTGGACAGAAGCACGGGGGGGGCGGCTTCCTTTTCTTGCGAACGCGTTTACGTTGACCGGGACGAATATTTT